TGCACCCAGCCACTCCCCAGATGAAACATGGGTTGCTGGTGCACGGTAAACCTGAGAGGGAAGAATGGAAGTCACACAATTAAAATCCTGGGCATTTGCTAAAACTGTTTTTAATGTCTCCTGCCCTCACAGGCAGAAGATTGTGGACTTGGATTTGGGATGCTCTTGAAGTGTCACCAGAAAAGCTGTCAAATGTGTGCATGCAGAAACGGAGACTTGGAAAATGCCTTTAATTGTGATTCCACTCTGCACAACACAGATTGTCATGCTTTGAGCTCAGGTTTGTTTGTATCACGGACAGACATTGATACCACAGCTCCTATCGGGGCATGAATATTTCAACAACTGAAACGATGCTTGCCTGCTCCAGAAAAGAGCTGCTTACATCCTCGTTTGATCTTTTTAGCGAGCCTAGCCAGCTCAGGTTGGCATCCTGGTTATTTATTTCCTACAGATATGGTCTCTGTTAGCTGTGCTGTGCTATGACTCTCCTCTCTTCATTTCAGAGGCTCTGGGAACTCAAGTTGGGAAGAGGTGAGATTTCTAGCAAGAAAAAAGACTAAAGCGGCCAGAATTTGCTCCCTGTTTTGTTTCTTTTTGAGGAGGCACCTTGCACTTTGTAGGATGCGTGGACCAGAAAGAGGTGGGGTAATACTTGGAAGTATCTAGAGTGGCAATCTGTGGGGACAGTCATCGTCTTTCATTTCTGCCCCACATCCTGCACCACACCCTCTCTCCATGCTCTTGTTCTCTCTCCACTTCTTCTTGCACGAGGGGAATGCAGAATCCTCCTCTCTAGTGGCATTAATGAATAATATTAAGCACTTCAGAAGGAATAAGCTGAAAGTGGAGCCTTATTCTTTTCTGCAGTATATTGACAGTTCACACACAGGGATTGTGTCCTGGGCCCTTCTTTCTGAAAGCTAGAGTGATATTGAAATGCTGGAACTCCTGGTACCATTGTGTGTTTCTGAAGTAAAATGTCTCTAAAGCATCTAATTAGGGGGCACTTCCTACAGCCACAATCCATAACGCAGACAGTGAGAGCTTTTGAGCAACTTGCTCTTCAGGGCATGCCCTGTCTTCTCCTATGATCTGTAGAGCACTCTGGATGCTCAGGATGAATGCCAGGTTTCTTCATGTAATAAGGTGTGCTGGTTTTGGCTGGGGTAGAGTTAATTTTCTTCACAGTAGCGAGTATGGGGCTGTGTTTTGGATTTGTGCTGGAAACAGCGCTGATAACACAGGGGTGTTTTCGTTGTTGCTGAGCAGTGCTGACACAGAGTCAAGGCCGTTTCTGCCTCTCACCCCACCCCACCAGCGAGCAGGCTGGGGGGGCACGAGAAGCTGGGAGGGGACACGGCCGGGACAGCTGACCCCAGCTGACCCAAGGGATATTCCACACCATATGGCGTCATGCTCAGCACATAAAGCTGGGGGAAGAAGGAGGAAGGGGGGGATGTTTGGAGTGATGGCGTTTGTCTTCCCAAGTCACCGTTACGCGTGATGGAGCCCTGCTTTCCTGGGGATGGCTGACCACCTGCCTGCCCATGGGAAGTGGTGAATGAATGCCTTGTTTTGCTTTACTTGGGTGCGCGGCTTTTGCTTTCTCTATTAAACTGTCTTTATCTTAACCCATGAGTTTTCTCACTTTTACCCTTCTGATTCTCTCCCCCATCCCACCTGGGGAGAGTGAGCAAGTGGCTGTGTGGGGCTGAGTTGCCAGCTGGGGTTAAACCACAACATAAGGAAAAACAATACGAATCTGGGTATGAGGTGGTTTTCCAGTTCTAAGTCCTTGGTGTGGTAAGATCTCTCTCCTCTTACTTAGTGAGCAACAGCATGTGGATGAAGTTTCCAGGCCCACAGATGATGCAAGAAGTCAGTTACCTGATTCTTGAGTATTTTTTTTTGAGCTGTATTTCATGGTGTTTGCATTGCTGATCCCAGCAGAATGGCGGAGCTTGGCCTCGTGGGTACAGCTGTGAACGTGTGTGATTCTCTGTTTGAGGAATACATCTATTGGAGTGGTTATCCTGAGTATAATTGCTTGTGTACAAGAACAGAAATTATATGTTGAGAGTTACAGCTGTGTATGTATCCCAGGAAGCAGTCTGGTAAACATAATCCCAAAGTCAACCCACAGCAGGACTTACTAGGCAAGGAGAGGAAAAAGTTGTGCTCTTACATATTCCAAACAGCCTCTAAAGCATAAGTTCTCATTAGACTGATGACTTGTTGGTGGGGTCATTAGGCAAAAGATGCTTTGCACTGGTCTGTCCTGCAGTGTTAGTGAGACGCTACATTGAGATCCACGGAGCTGGCCATGTCTGACCGCTGGTCCCTCTTGCCACAGAAAGGGCGGCTCAGGCTGGCCCAGGCTCCCTCGCAGTGTGCTCACTTGAATTTTGAACGTTGGTGCCAGAAGGCAGTGAGCAGTAGGTGCATGCTTCAAGCATTTTTCTGCACTCTGAGGATCTCAAAGTATATTTTCTGTGAAAACTGTTTTAAAGGCTTACAATAAATGGCTGAAAGTCAGGCCTGGAGAAAAAGCAGAGATGTGTAAAGGCAGGGTCTGACTGCTCCAGGGGGGCTGGGTGCCAGGCTGACTCGTGTCAGACACACTGGAAACACAAGGATGAAGTCAAATGTCCAAGGTCATCAGTAGGGTGCTGGCAGAGCAATGAAAGATACCAGTTAGAAGCAAACATGATTGAATTTTTGTGTCCTGAGCTCACTGTGGGGAACAGTGGTGTTGGTGTGGCCAGGGACCTTGCAAACCTAGGCCAGTAGGTGCCTAAATGATAGAATTTGGGTCCATGGTGACTAATGAGGACAATTTATGGTGGAACATTACTTCATGTGTCCTTTTTCAAAGCAGACCTGTGGTGCTCCCATCCAGCAGTGCTAGGGAGAGAAGAGCCCCAGCACCCCAAGGCTGCAAGGCTCATTCGAAACACGTACACTGAAGGAGGGACGTGTTGGATGAAGAATTGCTACTTGTGATGTATTAGGTGTTAAACGTATCCAATACAGGGAGCTTGTGAAAGGACTTGGAGTCAGGATGTGCTTGTGCATGGCATAAATGTTCTGGTTTGTGCCTGTTTTGAGCAAAAAGACAAGGCCCTCCCAAGTCCCTGCTCCGCCACCCTTGCAGGCTGGTTGCTGAGCTGAGTGTTGTAAAGTAGCCATTACACATTACACAGGTGGCCATGTAACGCAGCGGGATTTATAATGGAAGATGTAGGGACTCTCTGGGGACTGGGGATTTAAAGGGGTTTTAGACACTTTGCATTGCATTTCACTTGTACGTGTTTGGGAGGGCTGTCCTTGTATGCGTATATATCATATGCAAACGTATTTTGAGTTGCTGTGTGTTTTGTCTGAATTTAGAAAAGGAGTGTTTTGGAGAAAGAATCCTCCAGGAAATGTTTTTGCAAGCACAGGCCCCTTGACTGTGATTTGGGGGGGAGGAAGGAGTGGGAATGAGGGGGAGGTTCACTGAGGTTTTCTTCTTTTCTTGTAGCGTTTTGGGAAAACTCCAGCCAAGGCCCACATACAGTCAAATGAATCAGCCTCCCTTTTTGCCATAAGTAATTGGCAGCTCTAGCTGCAATGCAGTTTTGATGTATGGCTAATACACTTTTTCTTGGTTAATTGAGAAGAAACACTGCAGTAGACGCCTGATGTTGAGTTGGCCTTTGTATGGAGTCTTTGAGCTAGTAGGGAGAAATTGTAGGCTGCTTCTTGAGAGATTGGAATTTGCTGCAAATTATATTCCATACTCTAGTCTGAAGGCTGTCATTGCTGTTCATCTGCTATAGAAAATGCATTTCTTGTTGCATACAAGTGTAGAGGGCACTGTAAGCTGGCGCATGGCACTGTTGCTCGGTGCAGGGTTTCCTTGGAAGAGTCTCATTTTATAACAACTTCAACAGAATATTCATGTTCTTAGATGAGTGACTGTTCCCGTGCTGACAAATAAAGCATTTTGGCCTTCTCATATTCCTGTAACAAAATGAAGTTCACTTGTTTCCTGAAGCATCTGCTGCCAATTCAGACTCAGAGCTTTCTGTGTCTGCTGTAGGATTTCCACTGAGCTCGGAAAACTTACCAGACAAGCTCAGCATTCACCACTGGAACTATCTGGAGTAACTGGAGGGCTTTCTTGTCCTGGAAACAGGACATGTAGCCGTTGCCCTTGGCAGGCTGAGACTTGCCAAATGCCTTTAATTTCCTGTTGGAAGCCTAGTTTTACATGGAAGGACTACGTTACTTTCACAACTGTAGTATCTGTTGGTAAATATTGGCTTTAATAACATACGCTTCACTTTAGCAGAATAACAACAGTGAGGGATAAATATTGAGCAGTGAAATTAAGCATGCTGTACTGGGGCAGTAACATCAGTGTTCTTTTACAATGTTTTAAATGGTAAATACCATACCTATTATTTTCATAGCATTTGAAAATTCATTAGAAACAAGTCCCTTTGAGGAACCTGTAGTCATAAATGTGATTAACTCAGCCTTGGAGTTTTAGTCATGGCCAAGGCTTCACTGAAAACAGAGAAAACAAGCCTGGCCTCGAGTTACTCTTTCATGGGATTGCTTCATATACGGGCAGCATGTGGCCTTCCTCCCTCCAGTTGTTCTGTGGGAAGAAAACATTCAAAGAAAGTACAAACGTAAAGTCTTCACAGGGGGCAAATGAAATGGTTGGCTCTGTAGCATTTTGCACCTGAAATGAAACACAGAAGTGGTTATTTTTGCCCTGCAGCTTTGTAGGGGGTGGTGGGGACTCTTGGATGTTTGAAGATGCAAACACATAGAAAGCAGAATGGCATCTCCTTTCCATGCATACTTAGCTGAACAACACTCCTGCGTATTTGGTTCATGTGTTATGTGTGTCTAGAGAGAGATTATATCCAGGCCAGTTGGGCTGAAGTTTGCTCTTTCTCTCTCCAGTTCACTGGACAAGTGTTTTACGTTTTCTTCAGCATAACTTTAAATGGACATTATTTTACCCTGTTCTGGAAAGGAGCTGGTATTTCTACAACTCATGCTGTCATGTAAGTAATCTTTTTCTTTTCTGAACAAGGTCATTACATCATGATGCAGTAATCCTCTGCCTGTGGAATAAACCATCCTCTCCATCTCTGTCTACTGCTCTTATCTGTGTGTGTTCTTTCTTAAAGCGTGCATGGGGGGAGGAGAAATGAGAGGAGAGCAAAAGTTTTGATTCTGGCCTGTTAAACTATGTTTAGAGAGAATAATGCATGGGTTGTGAGATGCAAAGGGCTGTTGTCTCACAGAGCTATTGCTTTGATACTTTATCCACAAAGAGAAGCTCCGGAGTCTCAAGTCAGAAGAGCCTGGGGATGAAATTCCACCTTTGCCAGGCTCTGACAGGTTAAACTTTACGAAGATGCAGGTAGCAAATTATCCACAGACTGAATTGCAAAGGAGGGCTTTAAAAACCTGCTGGGGAGATCAAGTGGATAAAAATAGTTAGTTCTTGTATCCCTCTTCTTGTCTGTAGAGCTAAAAGCAATCTACAAAGGAAGGACAATGTCATTATCTTGGTCTCACCCCAGAGGAACCGGAGGGATGGAGCAATGCCACTGTGGGTGGAACGGGTCAGCATGGGAGCCGGCAGCAGGACCCAGCCATCTTTCTGCCTGTCCCGTTGCCTGGCCATTAGACTGAGTTGCCTCCCTGCTTATTGCAGTTTCTAATTTGTCTTGGATGTGTCTGCGTGCTTTTTCCCGAGTCAGTTTACACCACAATATATCGTTCATGGCCAGCCTGGGGAGTGCCCGATGAAGTATGGTTCATAACTATTTTTGATTCATTTATAAAGGGATTAGGTGACGTGGTTGCCTGGACAGCAGGGACTGTACTTGTTGACCTGGCGGGTCTCTCCCAGTCCTGTGTTTCTATGTAACCTGAGGTGATGCCATCTAAGCTGCATCAAGATGCCAGTGATGTAATTTCAAACTGTCTGGCCTGAGCGCCAGTGAAGTCAGGGAGGCTGCACATGTGTAAGATAGGATTGGCTTTGATCCTGTCTATTTTGCCCAAATAATAAGTAGAAGATAGGTAGGGTTTGATTCAAAATGAAACCAGTTAATTAAGCAGAGAAAGTAGAGCAGATCTATTAGTGGTTGATTCCATCTTTCACCTGCTCCGAGAGGAAATAGCCCGTCATATTTTACTGTGCAGCTCCGAGGTCTGTTGCAGATTAAGACAAATATTGAGTCATCAGGTTGTAGTGTCTCAACAAACTACTTAAAAAGGTGTCAGGCCCTCACTGTGGGTGGATGTTGAAGTGGCAGACCTATCAAAGAAACACATCTAGAATCGCACGAAGACTTCACTGTTACCGTCATGCCATACTTTATAGCTGTTCAGAGCATGGCAGTGATAGAGCACCTGTCCTCCAAGCTGGAATTGATAGACTCCCGTAGCTGTCAGCAGGACAGGGCTATGATGGACACCTTGCAGGGCATGCTGGCATGGGTACAGCTCTGCGCTCACATGCCTTTACAGCTATCAAAACAGACACGTGTGTCAAGTTGCTTGGAGTGCGAGCAGAGGAGCTCAGATTGGGCTGTGCCCATCTGTGGAGACTTAGCCGTGGCTGAGCAGAATTGATAGACTCCCGTAGCTGTCAGCAGGACAGGGCTATGATGGACACCTTGCAGGGCATGCTGGCATGGGTACAGCTCTGCGCTCACATGCCTTTACAGCTATCAAAACAGACACGTGTGTCAAGTTGCTTGGAGTGCGAGCAGAGGAGCTCAGATTGGGCTGTGCCCATCTGTGGAGACTTAGCCGTGGCTGAGCAGTCCCTGTTCCAGTCAAAAGGGACACGTAACAGCCATAAGTAGAAGATAGGTAGGGTTTGATTCAAAATGAAACCAGTTAATTAAGCAGAGAAAGTAGAGCAGATCTATTAGTGGTTGATTCCATCTTTCACCTGCTCCGAGAGGAAATAGCCCGTCATATTTTACTGTGCAGCTCCGAGGTCTGTTGCAGATTAAGACAAATATTGAGTCATCAGGTTGTAGTGTCTCAACAAACTACTTAAAAAGGTGTCAGGCCCTCACTGTGGGTGGATGTTGAAGTGGCAGACCTATCAAAGAAACACATCTAGAATCGCACGAAGACTTCACTGTTACCGTCATGCCATACTTTATAGCTGTTCAGAGCATGGCAGTGATAGAGCACCTGTCCTCCAAGCTGGAATTGATAGACTCCCGTAGCTGTCAGCAGGACAGGGCTATGATGGACACCTTGCAGGGCATGCTGGCATGGGTACAGCTCTGCGCTCACATGCCTTTACAGCTATCAAAACAGACACGTGTGTCAAGTTGCTTGGAGTGCGAGCAGAGGAGCTCAGATTGGGCTGTGCCCATCTGTGGAGACTTAGCCGTGGCTGAGCAGTCCCTGTTCCAGTCAAAAGCCACACCCCCCCCAGCCACTATATCCTCATGATAATATTTCTATGCTTTGTACTTGTCCCTAATTTATTATATCCCAAAGCCCAAGAGTCTTCTCTTAGAGATTGCACTGCTGACAGCATCTTCACCCATGTTTCAGCTGTGCTGCCTCTGATGAGAATAGGCTCTATGTAGTTTGGTCCAATGTCAGAGTGTTTTAATGGAGAAGGGGAGATTTCTGAATTAGATTAATTCATTATGCTCTTTTATCATTGCCTGTTACTAGAAAAATTCTAGCAAATGAGTTTGTACTACTTAATTTGCATTATTGGTTTTCTTCTGTTTAATTCCGGCAGAATCTTTGGACCCAGATTCCAAGGGGATGACCACGTTGTAGGAAAAACGTGCTCACAGCAGAGCTTCCCAGCCATTAGTTATGATAGCTTTGACTTTTCTACCAGGCTAAATTTCAGAGCAGCACTGATTTTTATTTCTTCGTATAACTTGTGATTTGCTGAGTTATAGCTGACAGCAGCTTTTCCCTGTCCTTAAGGGGTCATTGTGCATATGTGTGTGTGTTTGAAAACTGCAGGATCACATCTTAAAAAGAAAGTCCTCTAAACATGCTTAGCTGAGTGTGACCCCTTTCCCTTTGCACTTAGTTTTAAAGCCAAATGTCATAAAAACAACTTTCAGTGCTTTGATGTGGGCTCATAATTTTCTCATTGATGCTATTAATATTGCATGCCCACTTGCTCCATGGTGGGTGTCAGCGCTCGCTAACAGCAGCCATCTGTGAGAAAGGAGCTGCTTCCTGGCATGGAGTAAAATTTAGGCCAGCTGTGGATGCTGGAACCACATCTTAGAGACTGTCCCTCTGGGCTCTCCCTTCCCTGTGCTTTCCCTGAGACTGTGCACTGAGCGGAATTTCTGGTACCCAGGATCCCACAGCCTGTGGAGCTGCATTTTTGTATTAATGTCTGTGCCTCACACTCTGAAGGCAGAAGGTAGGGCCTGAATTATTACTGCATCGGGCTCGTGCCATTGTCATTCCAGAAAGCCGATATCCCTCAACTCAAGGGACTCGCCCATTTCTATCCATTTAACTGTGAAGTAGTTACCAACAAATGATGCTTTTGTTCAGCTTGGGCAATACTTGAAACTTGACTTCTCCCTCTGCACCCGTTCAGCACCAGTGGTGTTTTATGGGTCTAGTGAAACAAGTGAAAACACAATTGCAACTCTGGCCTGATAGTTCGGGGGAAGCCAGTTTTCCTGAATTTTTTCCTGTGATGTTGGAAGAATCTCATCGCTCTGCCCTTTAGCTTTAATTCCTGGAAATACAAACAGGTTAGAATTGAGGGAGCAGGGGAAAGCAAACAAACTCCAAGCAGCATCCCAAGTAAGTCTTACATATAGAGGATGTGTGTTTTGCCACATGTTGAATTGTTTTGCAGTCAAGCTTCTGGGATCTGAATGGATTTTCAAACCTGTGTCAGAGCTCAGTGGTGAGATTACTTTCAGCAAAAAAATAATCTGTCAGTACTGTTCTCTTAGTCTGTATTAACTATCTGACTAGGGGTTTCATGACACACCTGCTATCCCAGAGGCCAGTCCTTAAGAAAAATAATGGCCTTGGGCCAAATCCTGCCTCCAGTTATGTGGTCTGACCTCAAGTTTTCATTTAATTTACAGAATTGAGGTTTATAAAATAGCTGTGTTTAGTAACTGCATCAATTCTCACCTTGATGTGACACCTAAACAGCATTTGCAATAGGAACGTGGTCTCAAGATTTCTGCTGTTTTCCAGCACATGTTCACCCTTTCTGTAGCTCCCTTTCAAAGTCCTTTCCCTCTCACAAGATTTCCTTTCTCAAACGGAGTTCTTGGGACAGGGATTTTGCAGATGGCTGCAGGTGTAGGCCACTCAGAAAAGGGCTTCTACCCTGGAGGTGCTTCCTTCTATAAGGGAAAAGAATGCACGGTTCTGCTGTCCAGGCGGCCTTTAGAAGAATGGAAACTTGTTTCTTTGAGGGTAAAAAAACCTTCTGCAAAGATTTAGGAAGTGATTCATCTCCATTTACACAGTCTGCAGTAGCAGCTTGTCAGACTGGGATCATATGTTGCGCTTTATGATATAATGCCCCTGAATGTGAATCAGATCAAGGCACTCTTACACTTTGCAGCAGCCAAAGTTATATTAGTGCTGATGATAATTGCTAAAAGACTATAATGATCTACCCGGCTAATCATGACTGAGTTCTATCAGTAACACTGAACACTCACCTTCTGATAAAGGCCCCAGCTTTCAAGTGTTATGAAACTTTGCTGAGCTGGGAATGGTACAAGCCCAGAAAACTGGCACAGAATCTGCCTTGGTGGCCGGTCACGTACAGGTCACATGTAAATGTTGTGTGGGATCAGAAGACAGATTGGGTTAGAACTGGGTTTATGCTTTTCTTCCTCAAACTTCTCTGTCATAGAAATCAGTGGAACTAGTCAAAGGCAAAGGGGCAGAGAAACTTCCCTCTTCAGCTCACAAGTCATCAGAGATTTGTATTATCTGATATGAATCCTGTTTCAGACTTAAAGGAATGCAGTCCCAGATCCTTCAGCAGCTCCCAGTT